GTTCCTACTTACTGCTAGGTAAACAGGAGCATGTTGAGAAAGGAAACTTGTCTAAAGTTTTGCCCCGTCTGGGAATCGAACCTGGATCCTCTTGCTTGCGAGGCGACCACGCTAACCACTGCACCGCAGGCTCTCCACTTGAGTGCAGAGAGCACCACAGCCTTACCTTCCCTCTCCCCACCTAACTGCCACAACCCCGTACAACAGGTAATGCAGAGGTACCAGCAGGAGTGATTGGCTCACGATCAGAACTCAGTTGCAGGCTCAGCACGATGGAATCTATTTGCACTAATATACTGTGCCATTTTGTGCCAGGCTCAGCAAAGTTATTTGGTAACTCATCTGAAACAATAAATTGGAATAGCTTTCTTCGTTTATTAATTAAAACGTTTGTGAGCCCACTGTAACGGGTCTATTTCTACGCTGTTCGTTCTCTGTGGCTTGTGAGGAAAACGTAAACTTGGCCAAAAGTAGCAACCTTCTTCATCACATTCCCACAAGTCTCTTGTATGTGTCTATCTTTAAGGAAGCCATTTACAATCTTCAGAATATATCTCTGCTTTATATGCTGTACAATTAAAGCCTGGTCTGGCTCTGCATGTTTTTATTATGATCAACTCGAGATAGAGCAGCCTCCTCTGACAAGCTTATATTGCTCTCTTCTTCACAATTAATTCCAAATGTTATCAGGGCTGTATTTCCACATTTGATTATAGGCTATAAAAACAGCTGAATATGTTAGTGTATAAAATGGTTAATCCAGGGAAAGAGAAATTAAATCTTTTACAGTGGGTAAATGAGGGTACATTTCTACTGTTTCCTCGGTGATGCATTTGTGATTGTGTAAAATTATTTTACAAAGGCTAAATATTCAAAAATTATTCAAAATGTCACATTAAACTTTCCAAAATTTGAAACAATAAGTGATAAACAATCATTACGTAAATGTGCATTGAGATCGTATCACTCATTCTATGCCCATGTCACCAAATCCCTGAACTACCGATTGCATTTTACCAACAATGCATTAAGTACCCAGGAAACAGCGAATGCAGAGCAAAATAATCTTTGAAAGTAATAATAATGATAAACGACTTGATGGGCAAGTTAAGAATATTACCTTGCCCATCAAAAATGCTGATCATTAAAAACAAAGCAAGACGGCAAAATTCTAAATAGGTCCACAAATGTTCAGCTTCCCCAGTTGCACAATGTCTGCTATGGCACCGTATACTCTACCATCGAAACAGCCTGCCAACTCTCATGTGGTTTCCCACATTGGGGCAAGGTTATAGATGATTGATAGCATTCTTGGACCCATATTTTCATCCAGCAAATCCCCGTTTTGAGGAGAAAGGAAAGATATAGCCAGGAAAGAAGGCTAAATGACTTGAAAAAGATCAGCTACTCTCAGAGCTCCCTCTTGTCATCCAGGATCCACCTAAGGACACAAGCTCACTAGATTTTGATGCATGTTCCTACCTCAAACACATTTGCCTCTAACCTACTCTTAGACCTTAAACCTAGTTTGCCCACAAGATATATAGCCACTTCACTTTACAGTAATTCCAGTGAAGTGTTTTGAGAAGTCCTACCAACGTGAAAAGCATAAAATCATATGTAAGGATTATTATTATTATTATTACTATTATATTGCTTTACACTTCACCTTTTCCTATAGTAAGGCCACTTAAATCTATCCATTGGTCTCTACTTCTTGGCATCTTTTTATTCATTGCTAGTAATGTGTTAAGCAAAATTTGTTAAAATATGAGCTGCATGTATGATAAGACACTGTGACACGATTAAAGCTAGGTGCCTGCAAGTGACATTTAACTAAAAGCTTTTCATGCCAATTGTGTGTTTACTACTCATCCAGATTTAATGGAATACAAGCTCCCTCAGTAGCAAGTGCTTATTTTAATTCCAATGGATAATAAAGACAAGAAACAATTTATTTTTTCTCCTCATTTAATGAAAGTTATTTAGAAAAATAATTAATCAGGCTCGAGTCAAAATCTCAGAGGAAGGTTGAATGAATGAATGAATGAATGAATGAATGAATGCTCATGTCACAGCAGTTATTGGCAATGAGTAACAGTGAAGATTTTGGCAGACACTGAATCTAGGTAGACAAGACAGATCTACGTCAAGCCTCCTATGTAAGCTATCAAGTAAAAAAAAAATCGCACGCAACAAAAGGATGTTAAATTATTTTTACACTTAATATTGTCCATGCACATATGAAAATAGCACTCCCTGCAACAAGAGTAATATTACAGACAGTCTCTTTTGTTACCTGAAGCCACAGCAGAATCTTTCTTCTCTAAACAAGAGTGAGCCATTTGCTTTTCTAGTTTCCAGAAGTTGTTTTTAACAGATTAGTTCCCTGTAAGCACATTAAAAAGGGGGTGTATTTACATTTTAGCACAATTATTAGGAGTTTTGAATACTTGGTATTCAGAATTTTTTTTATACAAACATAAAGTAGCGTGGACATTGCAAAGGGTATTTGTGGAAGAAGTTTTGGTTTTGGTCAGCTGGAACAATGCTTAAAGAGTCTCCAAACCAAACTGAGAGTGAGAGAAGGAATACAAGGTAAATCATTTCTGAAATCATTAGTAATTGACTACACAAAATAAATAACTGGACCTCAGTTTTGGTCCTTTGTAATTACACATGATCTGTCATGCATTAAAAAATAAATAGGACTTGTGTCATAGAAATAGGTACAGCTCAACATCATTTCACAACATAATGTAGTGGACATTAATGCCCCCTTTTAAGTAAGATTGGGCTCCTTAATCACTTTGTGGATCAACTTGTGCTCATTTGAACATTTACTTAAATATTTTGGCAAGTAAGTATAACAATATTACGTGGGATTTAAGTGCTGGGCTGTGGAATTTAGATAAAAATAGAATGACGACGGGAAACAACATTGTAGAACTGGAAAAAAACTTCTTCAAACAGGACCAATTAAACTAGAATTCACTTACTACTGTGTATCAGGAGAATTCTCTCTAAATTTCCAAGTGGTTCTGGTATCTGCTCTCTGAAACACCATCCCAGAGTCCCTCCACTCACCTCATTGAGGGCCCTCGTAATGTAACCTCTTTAACCACGCTTTTGGTCATCTTTACCTTCCCCTCCCCCTTTGGTCTCACCCCAGGCTCGGGTGCCCATTGTCAATCGCTTTGAAATGTCCTCCCAATGTGAAAGGTCTATAATAAGGTCTATATAACTGTAAATTGAATTGTACTGTTTTGAAATATATATACATATATATCCAAACTTAATCTTGTACTGAATAAGACAAGTATAAAAGTAGATCACCTGCCCTCTGGTCAAATGATCTGCTTCTGTCTTAGTCACTACAAGACGTTTCTTACAGCTGACAAGAGAGGACCTCAAATGTTTGAATGGAAGGCTAGAAGATACTGTAAAATCTAGTTTACAAAATGTATCTGTTGCTTTCTTTTTCTCCATTGATACGTTAGTAAATTTCCTTGAAGTTGTACTGGTGCATGTCACTCACTTGTTCACAAGATGCATAAAAGGTACCACTTCACTGGGAGATCAAGTAATTGCTGATATAAAACTGGATGCATAGCGGACTTAACAACAGTCTGCTCAGGTGAAGGGGCTCATTTGCAAAACTTCACCTATCTTTTTCTTCCAGATGTGGAGTCCTGTAGCTCAGCGGTTAGAGCACTCGCCTTGCCATCGAGATACCTGGGTTCAATTTCAGGACAGCGAAACCTTGGGCAAGTTTCCTTACTCCACACACCTAATAATAATCCCTCCAAATCAAAACAATAATAAATTGATCATTTTCAATCCACAACTGTTTGTGGGACACTGCTGCGCGCAATTGGCTAGAAGACGTGAAAAGCGCTATATCAAATGCAAGGATTATTATAATTATTATTATGTTGGTCGACCAATTGTACATTTCCATTATTTTGAGTTTTTAGATTTATTTTCTTACCTCTTATCCCCACAGTAAAAAAATACGACTGTAGGTATATTGGCATGAATGTATATTGGTGTGGTATGGTTTTTTTAAGCCACTCGAGCCTTTTGTGACCTTTTCCAATACTATTATTCTTGATCAGAGGAATGAGTTGATAAAATCCTGGGTACCTTAGCCGTTGAAAATCATCCAAATCGTCTGTGCTCAAATCCTGATGCATCAACTCATCCTTTCATCCACTTATGTTTGATGGAATGAGTCCCCTTGTTTCACAATATCCTCCAGGGTGTCTGTGTGTGAGGGGGAAAGGGGCGAGGTAGAGATAAGATAGGCTCTCTAAATTGAACTGTCTCTGAGGAGAGTTTGAAATGTAGAAATGTTCTTAAGCCGAAAGCTCTAACAGGTCTGGTAGTGCTACCTGGATAAGTAGCACAACATAATAAAATAATAATTTGGTCACTCATTCCACAACTGTTTGTAGGGCACTGAAGTGCGCAATTGGCTGCCGCATTTCGCTCACAAAATATACAGTCAATTCACTTTACGGTATATTCTGTGAGGTGCTTTGAGACGTCTCGAAGACGTGATAAGACGTTATATCAAATGCAAGGATTATTATTATTAAGTACCATGAAACTTGACTGTGAATCGGAATTTTAAACCGTGTGGGTACCACTGAATATCACGAGGATTGTGGTACAGTTTCAAAAATACTAGTCATTTTACCACTTTTTTTTACTTGTAGTACTGCACATCCAATAACTCTGTGGGAGTTGTGAAGCACATTTTATAGTTGGAAATAAAGGTGAGTTAATCTTCCAATAGTTCTGTTTTTCTGCTGATTAATTTACAATTATCCATAGAATTTCATAGGGGACACATCAATCAATCTTTGTTTTTACAGTTACACAATGAACAGTTTTGTTTAAATTGTACATCGACTCACAAAAATGGTGCGGGCCACAGATTCATTATTCCTCCCTCCCTTCCTCCTGAAAGAAGACACTCGCACACCGTTGGCAGGTCACGTTACGTCATTGGAGGTGTTTGTGTTTATTGCAATGAGGCTTTCACCAGCTGCTATTAATCAGGAACTTGGCATAACATAACAGGAGCCTCGTGCTTGTTTGTTTCACATGTAAAAAAAATCTAAACAAAATTACAATTCTAATCTTTTCAAAGATTCTGAAAAACCGATGCTAAACAGCTGAAATTCTGCTTGCAAAACAGTAGGGTAGATGTGGTGCAGAGCTGCTTGGCTGGAAATCAACTGTCAGACCCTCTACTGCACAGCGAAGGTGCTCTGGAGTTGATTTGAACTGTTTCAGGACACTGTCATTGAGATATTAACACAGTTGCTCACTTAACCTTCAGTAAGAGAATCTACAAGAAACAAACCAATCCACTATAGATAATGTAGAGACTGTGTTTTACACGAGAATGAACTACACACCTATTCAGTATAGTACAATATACTGGGGGAAGAGGGGTAATATTTAAACTAGACCATAATTATTTTATCCCACAAAGAGCGTTTCAGTTCTTTCTTACAAAGTCATTTAAATAATTCCAATTTTTGCTGCTCGCAGCATCGTTCAAAATCGTCATTAAATTTACAAAAACAAATTGCTCAAACAATTATCATGACAAATAAAAACTTAAATAAAAGTCAACAGACATTCTCACTCCAATTTCAGGTAGTTTGGCACCGAATAGTTAAACATTACAAAATCTAGTTTGTAAAGGTTGAACAGTTGTGTTTGGAAAGCAGAGCTGATGTTTTGGAAAAACTGAGCTGTCATTTCATCTGTAGTTCGCGTAGATTTTGCGTAGGTGGGAAATTTCATAAAGTCTGCTACTCCTGCTAGTCGAAGGACATAGTTTGCATCCTCATGTAGCGTTTCATACTTCCCTATTAGGTCATAGTGAACGTGGCAGGGATGACATAGTGAGAACACAGTTTCCCAGTGCTCATTGAAGGGTTCCTCTTTCAGCGTGTGAGGATCAATGAGGTAACCCACAAACTCCTCAAACTTCACATCATCTCCGTTGCGCAAAGCCTCTCGGGTTGCATTTTTCCTCTGCCTTCGGATGATCTTAGTCCCGTACCGTTTGTGAAACGACTTGTTGTACCTCCTGGTGAACTTGTTTCTGTAGGCCGACACCAGTCTCTCGAAAGGGTCGCGCACAAACATAAACTTCAGGTAATGTTTCAAGCGGTGGTTGATCTCTGGGATGCTGTACTGATTGAGGGTCTTCAAATTGGAAGAGATATGGGCTTCGTTCGCTGGGATTTCCATGGGGTCGTTGTATTTGCCTCTCCCCGTGAGCACCATCATGACCCTCTTCCAGTTTGTGCAGGCCACCTTAGGCACGTAGCAGTAGATCATCTCGTGGTCCTCATCAACAACTAAATGTTTCAGGTCGTCGGGAGTCAACACGCGTCGCTTACGACTTGTAGCGCTGTTGGCTCGACAGGTCTCAGCGACCTGATCTCTCCTAGTCTGATGCGTCGTTTCTGTGCTTGAGAATTCGTACTGAAATAAAGCACATCATATCATTATATCTTCTATTCATTTGGAGATGATTATAAACCAATTGTAAAGCAATTATACTGCAGCTCATTGAAGGACTTCAGTAGCTCCAATGAGATGTAGTTTGCTGCACCAATCAAACAAAGCAAGACGACGTTTACATTTACAGTCAGAGTCTGTCCAGTTGAGGAAATTGGTCAATAATAATAATAATCATCCTTGCATTTGATATAGCGCCTTATCACGTCGATGAGACGTCTCAAAGTGCTTCACAGCATATACTGTAAAGTGAATTGAATGCATGTTTTGTGGGTGAAACAACAGCAACAAATTGTATTTATAAAGCACTGTTCACGTCGGGATTTCCAAGGAAGTTACTATTCGGCTCTTTGGAGCTCTAGCATTGTGATCTGGGAGCTGGAAGGGAATTGTATTAATAACCCCTAGATCCGCCACTGGTGGGAAAAGTAGTAAAATTCAGAGAGAGAGAAAGAGAAAATTGGCAACCCCTGGTTTCAAGAAAGACGTTTGCTTTTGATACTGTGGTTAAGAGTTTAGGAACACTGATATTTCAAAACCCCCAAAAAGGAATGTAATCGTACCATTCAGTTATATGGATTTATTTGAGTACTTTGATAAACCATAATAATGCACAGCTTGGATACAAGGTATCATGTCCACTTCACAAAAAATGTATGGAATCATTTAACGTTAGACAAATATTAATACAGTGTGGGAGGTTGAGAGGAGGATACAAGGATGATTCTATTTAAGATTTTTCACCACTTCTTTGAAAATCCTGCTATTACTTGCAGCCAAACAACAACCACAGGTGGGTAAAGACATCCTGTTCTTGTGTGATGTCATTGAAGTAGTCATTGGAAAATGGGAGTGGGGTTACAGGAAAATTCCATCTGCAATATATAATAATAATGCCAAAAGTCTCGTACAGCACAATTCAATTCATATGCTTCCAAATGTACGTACCCACCCATCCCTCTTGTGCATACAGCAATCCTCAAGTTCATCATAAAACGGACAGCTGCAAGCATTACATAAAGGACCACACTGCAATCTTTTTTACTTAATATAAGTCAACCCTGAGACGTTTTAGTAATTCTGGTTTGATCCAGCCTGGGTTCATTAGAAATATACTTGGAATATTCATTGCAGATATTAAGTGCTCCTAACGTTTGCTGTAGAGTTGAAAAATCATTTCCTTAAGACACTGTCCCGTGAACCTGATGACACGATTCTGCAGTCAGTGCATCTCAGTTAGTTAAGAGTATATTTAATGAATGGAAGGTCTGCATTAATGGAAGACAGCTGTCAGATTCGGTTTAAAGAGCACAGCCACTGCACATTGCCACCAAATCTATCTTCACTACGAACCGCCAAGAATTGAAGGTCACAGTCAATTATAAAAATGAAGTAGAATTGTGACTGACTAACAAGACAGTTATTTAATGGAGGAGTACAGGTGAACCCCATAAATAAATGCAACTGTGTCCTTTTTCGTGACATCACCCAGACCCTTTCATTAAATTATTGCTTGTTACTCCCTCTCAATTGGGCATAAATCTGTCCATGTACACAATGCTTCGGGTGCCCTAGTACAAAGGGTTCAAACGCCCACATTGGGGCAATAATTAAGCTGCTACTTTTCAAGACAGTCTGTGTGTAAGAACACGTTTCTGTGCTTTTGAAATGGCGAGGTCACGTAATCAAAGGAAGGGGGGCCTTGTTTTGCTAAAGACACAACAAGCAGGTTATCTGTATCATAGCTATCAGTTCTAATGTTATAATGTCTTCAAAAGTTGAGCTATTGTAAAACTGAAGTGTGTTTGGGTTGATTGGGAGGTGGTAACACTATTAGTTAATTGAAGTGCAGGTGCAGATTTACGCTGTACATTATCTGCACTGAGGGACAAGCTGAAGTTCGGCTCAACCACGGCAAAGGCCTGATAGAGCCTGACCCCGGCACAACCCGCTCAGGGCTCACCAACCGGGAGGCCAATGAGCGCACTCAAAACTGACTGAAGTAAAGGCACAGAAGGACGCTCGCAATGTAACCAAAGAGCGTCCCAAAAATGTATGTACGGTAAACGTGTGCGCGTACGGTGCACACCGGGGCGCCTTTCGAAAGCGGCAAGTGCACAAGTAACATGGATGTGGTGTACACAGGGGGCGACTCCCGACTGTGTTAAAGGGAGGGTCCCAAAACACGTGTGCACAACCTATGTGCAGTGAAGGAATGTACTGTAAACAACGGAATGTTTTTTGGTATCGGAGGAAAAGAAAAAGAATTGTAACAGAAGATGTTGTGTTTGTTTTGGATTTCTGTTGTGCTAAAATATTATATTTATAAATATATATTTTCCCCCAAATAAATCTGTCTGATCAGCTGGCAACATTGGTGTATTTCCACCTTTTTAAAGTGGGGAGAGACATAACCTTCGCTGTTAATGCAATTTAAAAGCACTGAGAAGCCAGGGAATATAACGCGTGGCCTTGTGTCACACAACTTATAAACCTATGCGACAAAGCTTATAGTGCACATGTTACTTACATTTCATTCCCTCCCTCCGCTTCTCAAGAAAGTGTTTCTAATATATGTTGTCCTGCATTATTTTCGTTAGGAATAATAATTTTTTTTGCAGATTTCCTTCAACTTTGCTATAAGTAATTTTACTCTCATCTGTAAACCCAATTGTTTGATCAGTTCAACTAATAGTTAATTAGAACTACTGTAGGTTTTACAACATTACACCATGACTGTATAAATCCTGTTACAAATTGCATGTTATCTTCAACATTTTAACAGCAGAATTGTACAGGGCATCAACAAAGTCCTGTTACCCCCTTTTTTTTACACTCAGTGCACTGACCAACAACTGAAACATGTGGAAGAATGATGATGTTTGTATTTAGAAGTACTCCATTGTATTCAGTACAAGTGTTTAACTGTATTTGGAAGTCCAGACATCCAGATGACCAGTGTAAGTGCCATCATTTTCAGAGCAGATAATGATTCATCGCCATATTCGGCATGACATCTTCCATAACATGGATGGATTGACAAGCCAAAATGCATCTGACAGCTAGTTTCAGCTCTTCTGTCGTCTCATATCGCTGTTTTGTAAGAGGACTTTGTGGCTACCCTGTAGTGCTGTGTTATATGGTGCTCTGTGGGTCTCTAGAATTTCACAGGACCATGGTAGCAAAGTAAACCTAACAAGCCGTTGGCCTGAAATGAGTGAGAACCCTTCATTGTACGAATTAAATTGAATTTTAATTCATACAATGAATTAAAGCTGTGCAGCTTCTACAATCACTTATCACATAACAAACCCACAGCCACAGCAGAGGCAGATCCATCTCAACGTGAAACTGTGTAGCATAATTTCCAATAAAACCGTTGGGTTTGAACATTTGGCTCTGAGGTATTCAGTTGCTACTGAAGGATGTTGACTGCAACTCCAGACAATGTCTTTGATCAGCTTTGAGCCCAATAGTGTGAGAAAGCATACCATACTGCATACAGAGCACAAAACTCTGATTAAAACAATGCAATCTGATCAGTTTTCTAGCTCTTGCTGTACCAGATGGTTGAGGGTAATATATAGTAGATGGGGGATAGATTGCTGTACTAATTGATATATTATCTTATTACTCCCCTTGAAACGAAAACCAGTTCCTGAAAATTTATACATGTCCTTTTGTTTAACCTGGTAAACATGTCATCATAGTCAGCACCAATTTAGTTGGACAGGAATCTGGAAGAAGCTTCCTTCTCTTTTTAATAGCACTATAGAATCTTTACGTGCACCCAAACAGGCAGACAGGACCTTGGTTTAACATCTAATCTGAAGACGACACACTTGTCTCCCTAGCATTGCGCTGCACTGGAGTGTCAGACCAGATTATGAGCTCAACGTCCCAGTTTGGGGCTTGAACCCACAACCTTCTGATACAGAGGGAAGAATGCTACCAATTGAGTCAGGCTGACACATAATGAGCCAGGCTGGCACATTTTAAGCAAATTAGTGTAAACTATGCTTTAAGCACCATTAAATTTAAAGTTTGATTGACTGCAGGCAGACAGATTAGCTTGAAATTAAAAACTGCAATAACCAAACACAAACATCACACTTTGCCCAAAATGCTCACAAGGACACAAAGGACTTGCTGTTAGTTCCATTTTAATCAATCTGAGAATGGGCCTTTGCTCTGTCTGACTTTACAAGGGTTTTTAGCCAAAAACTAATGAATATTTGTCCGCAAAAATGTTTTTTCCACATTAGCTGCTATTCACAATTTAATTACATCGACACACAGTATCTTCAGCTCAATGGGCCTCTTGTTAACATCTGAGTACAATACTTGTTCCAAGGGTTTTTTGACTGTGATTTGCAGTCTTTTAATCCTAGAGCAGTCCTTGGAAAATGGCTTTTAAACTTCAAAGGAAAATAATGGTAGAAGTCTTGGACGTGTCCAGCAATGACCAATGTGTTGTCCATCTTCTGGCTTTTAACCTTGTTTTTCCTTGTTCTCTGTAATCTCAGTGTTTTGCTGAGCTTCCTTCTAGCTCAAAGAAAATATACAGTCACTCCACTTTACAGTATATTCTGTGCAGCGCTTTGAGACGTCTCTAAAATGTGATAACACACAATATCAAATGAAAGGATTATTATTATTAAAGAACACAATCATGTTATAAATCTTCAAGCAGTGACATCATCTCCTACTGTTTACCCTAAGTAATAAATAATGGATATTACAAGTACATTAGGCCTATAGCAAACATTTGTATTCCCAATCCACTGCTCCCAAACTCCAAAATAATAATAACAATAATGATATTAATCCTTGCATTTGTGCCTTATCATGTCTTCAAGACATCTCAAAGCACTTCACGGAATATACTGTAAATTGAATTGACTGTGAATTTTCTGGGCGAAAATGGAAGCACACACGACCTTTGAGCTATTAGTATTTGATCA